CATCTCAAACATTCAAGCAGCAAAAGAAAGTGTAACTTGTGTCGAGCTGCCCAGAGGTAGCAATACAGGAGGTACAGGTGAGCATTTTCTGCATCAATAGATCTAGTAGACAGGGATGGTTCAATCAGTCCTGTCCCAAACACCTACAATATACCTGATTAGATGACGGTAAATTCAGTCCAATAGTCGCTGGCAGGGATTGTTTACAGGCCTGATCCTCTTCTCACTTACACCAGCTTTAATCAGGAGTAACTCAGTTTAGATCAGTGGATTTACATTGGTGTGAAATCAATTTAAGTGTCTGATCTAAAACCCATTGAAGTATTTCCAATTGACTTCAACGGGCTTTGGATCAGGCCCTAAATGAGACTGGAATCAGACCGAGATATCCCGAACTGGTTTTGTGTTTTGGGAGGGGGTGGGGAAGGCGATTTGGGGAATAGCAAATAGAGATTTCCTGTTAAATAGAACAAGGAGGGAAACTGAGATATGCCCCACTCATGTTTGAGATAGACTGAGAGACGCAGGGGTTTCCCAGGAGGCTCAAGGTGTTATTCCCAAAAGAGCTCCTATTCAGTACGAAGCAGCTTGTCCTCCACATCTCCTGACTCTCCAATAAGCCAATATTATTGTGGAGAAACTGGAAGCAGCCTTTCAACCTTCGATGTTTTATTTAGCAAGAGTCATTTTTTGTAACAAATTAGAATTAATTGTCACTAATTTTTAAGTTATTTGTCTGTGCTGCTAATTCGTCCAGAATCTGCAGTTTTCCTTAACATCTCTTTGTACATTTCCTGACAGCAGTTCAGCTTGATAGAATCATAGAATATCAGGGTTGGAAGGGACCTCATCTAGTCCAACCCCCTGCTCAAAGCAGGACCAATCCCCAGACAGTTTTTTACCCCAGTTCCCTAAATGGCCCCCTCAAGGATTGAACTCACAACCCTGGGTTTAGTAGGCCAATGCTCAAACCACTGAGCTATCCCTCCCCCTCGGGAATAACTTTATTACCCCGCTAAACCACATTCAAGACCTTCAGACTTGAATATGCAGAGATAAAATCATCTTCTTTACCCTCAAAGAACAACTCACCGACCCCACCCATGTAGAGGAAAAGGCCAAACTCCAGGACCTGGGGTTTTACATTTACAATGAGCAGGTGTTTTTGGTGATTGTTTTTGCTGTTGCAGTTTTTGCCATACCAATCTTCTGTTGGTTTCTTCACCTTGGAGCCATATCAAAAGAGAGAAAATACTGTGATTAAACAGAAGAATTCACAGAGACACAAGGGTACAAGTATGATCTAAAGTGGAAGTTCACCTTTTTGATCTGCACTGTTGATCTCTTATCTGTCTTGCAGATCTCTATTGCATAATCTGCAGATGGATGGATAGACCACCCATCAGTGTTAATAGAAGTGCCACATGTTGAACAAGTCATAAATGTGCAAAAGATTTGCCCTTGGGCCAAAGAAGACTTTTGCCCTATGTCAGAAATTATTATAGGTTCACAGAGCACATATCTAAAACATCCTACCAGAAGTCACTTGTTCTCCAGATGTTGGCTAACAAACTCTCTTGCACTTGAGCACTTCTGCTCATTGTAACCCAGATACTCAGGGGTAAACACAACAGAGAAACATTGGATTCATAGTGTGGCGCTATGTTTCCTCAAAGGTTTCAGGATCCCAAAGCTTGCAGAATATTTCAGTCATTAAAATGTAATAAATCTGGTGAAATTTCAAAGTTTTTTTTACTGTACCATGGAGTTCAGTCTCCTGAAACTTTTTGTGAGATAGAGGATTATAAATTCCAGGGTCCAGCCAAATTCTAACTAAGGTAATTACACTCAGCCTATTTAACATTCTCCAGCAGTTTCAATTGGACATGGTAATCTTCACTTCCTGCATAAAACTGCTGTGTAGTAGTGCTGTACATTATTCAGCATTTGCGGCATTTCCACCCTGGGGTAGCTTCATTTCACTGGTGGATGAAGTGATCTTCATGTGTTGTTTCTGTATCACATTTATGTTGGTAAAGTACTATCGGGTCCTTTGGAGATGAAAGATGCTATATCCAGGGAATACTGTTATAATAATCCTCTGCTATGATCTACTTCAGTGGGAAGATAAAAACAGTGTGTTCTGTTTTGTTCATGTAACTTATTTTAATGTAAAATATAATTACAGCACCCACCCAGGGTGTAAGTTATTGTGTAATTTTACAACTCCATACCTAGATGAGTGTTGGCATTCAATCTACATACTCACCACACCCACAACTGCACACATCCTATTGTGGCTAATTACATAATAATTTGTATGAGACAGATTAAAATCAGTTGTGCAAGTCTTTTTATTTCACTGCAAAGTAAAAATAAAAGATAGCAAAACAAATATGTAGTGAACACTAATACTCAGATAAGTTTCAGAATGTATCTTCCATCAGATTACATATAATAGTGCATACTCTAGACATATTTGAACACATGCTTGGCAGTCTCTTCATTACTGCTACATCAGGCAACATTTACTTTTAAAAAAAGTTTTATTATTACAAATGCAAAACAATCAGGAAGCACTAGTCCTAATTCTGCCTAGTTCTGAGTTACGAACAACTGTCATGACCAGGGATTAATTTTTTGCAGTCTATCCAGGGAAAGGAAGATCGCTCTTTACTATAATTCTGGGGTGGAATTTGGAAAAAAGAACCTCCTAAAATTAGGAATCACCTTGACAACTATCCCAAATATTGTTGTGCTAAGGAAGTGGAGATGAGCCTGAGCTATTCGAGATGGATCCAAATTTTCCAGAGGTTTGAACATGGTGTCCTGATCCAGGTCTTTTAGTCTACTCATTACAGAGATTGGCTAGACATAAAGTTTGAATCTGTTTGGATTTAACTGCTGTCAAAATCTGGAGGCTTTAAGACCTGAGGCTTTAGCTGCCTCATACCTTAAAAGGTATATATTTTCAAAGTGTATATGTAGCATAGCTTTTACAACTAAGAGTTTCTACTCCAGCCACAGTTCATGGAAGAAAATACAGAGTTTTGGTTCCGTGCCAGGTGCTTTTATAATACTTTACACAATAAGTGCATCATACATGCTAAGTCTGAGGCAGCTTCCTTATATTGGTGCTATCAGGTCCCACTTAGGTTACCAGAGTCTCAGGATCTTGTGACAGGAAGGATGGGAAAAAGCATGTGTTCTCAGGTGGAAGCCTGTTCTCCTGGGTGTTTGCCTCTTCCTGGGGACTCCTTTGAAGTGGGTAGAATTACAATTTTTTAAAATTTTGTCACTTTACTCCTATTCCTGCCCTCACCTAAATATTGCCATTGTAATCAGCAATCTTCCTTCTGCCAGGGAGTTGGCAATAGATGGAATTCCTCTGTTGTGGACAAGCTGGGGACACTCAGAATAAGTAGGAAGTTCAAATAGGCATGAGAAAGGTGCAGCTTGTCTCTATATTGCATGCAGGGAAACTAGGAAAAGCTCAGCAAAGTACCAAAAGTTATATTCCAAAATAACAGCAATGAGGTCACCATAGTGCTGGTCTTAACCAGTTTCAGAAGAAGTAGAAGAATCACTTACGGGGATGCCAGTTTCATAACTCTCCATCCTACCCTGCAACAATGTGGATCTGCCCATGATACTTGTTCTACTCAAGGCATCTCATTCACCTTAATGTGGCTCCTGCTGTCTCACATGCTCTCTCTTCCTAGCTGTCACCCTTAGCCCAATGCTTTGGCTGCCAAGGGCAAGGGGCACCATGTGCAGCCAAATGGTTCACACGTGCTTGGGACCAGCCTGGTGTCACCACTTGATAAGTACCTCCAGCAACTTCGACTTTGCACCAAGGACTGATGTTCCCTTTATATACTTGCTGCTTGCAAAATGTCATTTTTCAAAACTTCAAGATGTTTTTGATAGATGTGTTTGTCAAAAAGTGGACACAAGGATGCTCACACCAATGCTGAGGAAATATGGAATGTCTACGGATTTAATATTTATGGCGAATGCACTATATACATCACCTAAAACAGTGATCTGAACAGGTACTGGAACGACAAGCCCTTTGAAGTGCAAGTCAGACTGCACCGGGGTCAGCTCTCAGTCCGCTGCTGTTTATCATATTGATGGCCTATGTCAGCAGGAAGAACCCAATGCGAAAAGGGGAGAAGCTGCTATACTCAGATGATATAGCAATAAGGGCATCCGCAAAAGAAGACCTAGAGGAAAAAGTAAATCAGTGGTCTGACCAGCTAAGCAGGCATGGGATGAAAATGAACATGACTAAGACTGAGGTCATGTGAGTCAGTAGAGGTGCCACAGGGAAACTGGATATAGAGATTAATGGACCATGACTAAACCAGAGTGACCAGTTCAAGTACCTTGGTGGCTGGGTTATGGAAGACAGCAAGCTTGAATGTGACTGCAGTCCAGACTGGAGAGTGCTGGATGAGTGTGGAATAACATCCTAGATGTTGCTTATGAGAAGCATACGCCACTGACACTGAGATTCCAAGTGTACTCCACAACGCTGTATGGTGAAGAAGCATGGGTAAGATACAGCAGGTTCAATGCCGACAGGTGTTTGAGATGAGCTGTCTTTGCATAATAAAAAGAGTTACATGAAGGGACAGATTTAGAAATGAAAGCATTAGGATGGAAGTCAATGTCCGTGATGTGGCTGACAAAATCCAGGAAGTGCAACTTTGCTGGTTTGGACACGTGCACAGGATGAATGAAGAGGATTTGGGGACAGGACAGGGTGGTTGGAAAGAGACCCCAAGGAAAGCTGAAGCAGCGATGGATGGATTGCATCAAAGAAGATGGTAAGCAAGTGGACTTTAGTGCTGCCTTGGACAGAAGAAGATGGCAGATGCTTGCATGATAACTCGACCCCAGGGGATGAGATAAGAAGAAAAAGAAGAAGTGATTGTCAAAATCTCCCTAAAAAAAAAAGAAAAAAGAATAATATCCCCCAAGGCTTTGTGATTTTATGACATTTGCCCAATCAGAAATGGCTGAGCTCATTTAAATATATTTTTATTTAATTTTTTTTTAAAAAATGCACCTGGCCTGACAACACAAGGGCTACGTTGCTTCCTGATGTGATTTCAAATGGCTGAGAAATTAAAACACTGAAAAACGGGGTTTATAATGGAAATGCTGACAGACTATTAACTATAGCAGCACTGCTCTAATAAATGGAATGGCCTGTCATAATCTCTAGTTCATAAATATGCAAATACAAGGCAGAAGATTTGCTCCAAAGGATGTCTCTATAATTTTAACTGACCTTTACTGATACTAAATGAGCTTGTTGCTTCTGTTTTTGTGCATTAAATATAAAGTACAGGGAACCCTGCCTCTCTACCTACAAGGCCTACTCCGGTTTCCATTGAATTCAGCGGCAACACCGCCATTGTCTTCAGCTGAAGCAGGATGTTTCCTAAAACATATAGTTTAAACTGCTAAGCATTAAACTGAACTCTTGCCTGTGTTTAATTCTGTTCACATTTGTGTTAATTATGATTGCATTAATTCTCATTTAAATTAAGCACCTATTTTCCCCATGTGTCAAAGAGTCTGACCTGCCAACAAACACTCACTCATCTGATGAAAAACAGGCCATCAACACAATGATATAAAATTGAATTTTATCCAGTTTCCTGCTTTGGACCAAATGGAGGTAAATCCAGTGACTTAATATTTAATAATCTAAATGTAATTTGTTTTGTGTCTTTCATCACACAGTAAAGAATTGGATGAGAGCAGTTTTGCAGATTGGCCCCCTAATTATTTTAAGCTATTCATCCTGGTATCTGTCCCATTGATGCTCAGCCAAACTGCCAGCGGGGGAGAGATCTGTCCAATCCAGGAGCTAAATGAGTCACTGAGAGTCAATCTGTTTTTTCCCTTGCTGCTGGGGTTTCCTTGGGTCCTGGCCTTGCTCTGTTTCAGTCATACACACAGCTTCAGGCCGAAACCTTCTTTGGCTTTGACTGCCTCCTGTTTCCCCATCTCTGCTCTGCTCATCACAGCTGTTGATGGGTTCTGACCGGCTGGCCACAGAAGACCAACGCCTCGATCACATTGTTCTACAGTTCTCGCTCTGACGGAAAATGAAGACATCTTGGCCTCGTTGTATTTGCTGCTGCAGTAATACAATACGTATCTAGAGGGAAAGCAAAACACATGTACAAAATCTGTCATTTGGGTTAGATACTAATTTATCTGTCTTAAGTTCTGGGAACAATATTTGTACTTTTCCCAGTTAAGTTCCATAGAAACTGAATACTAATATGACTTTTTACAGCATGGAAAACAAATATGAAACAGAGAAAAAATACACTTGTGAGAAATATTAGCTGCTCAGTATTAAAATATCTGACAATACTCTGAATATAATTTCTAAACTGGAATATTTAGGTCCTAACTGTATTCACTAAAAGCAAATTTCTTGATTCCTCCCTTTTAGGGTCAGGATTCAATTACACAAAAATATGCAGCCGACTTAAAGACTGCATGTAAGATTAAGATAACTGGTATTTCATGGCAAATGATTAAACTAGCTGACACAGTTTTATCCTGAACTTTGCCATTAAGACTGACATTTTTATGCAACGTACATTGTAGTCTGCTGGTAATCTAAACTGCTGTATGTCGTTCTTCTTTCAAGGGCTTTAAATAGCAAAGAACTGGTCTTCTTTACCCTTATTGCAAATGTACAGGAAATATGTGTACGCTGTAACAAGATGAACTGTCTCTGATTGGAGTGTACTTGGCTAACTGTAGAACCTTATCCACCATATAAACAGCCCAAAGAAACAGCAAAGATGTTCAGAACACACACACTCAGATCTGCTGCATGTACGGGAATGAGGACATTTATACAGCTCTAATTGGGATGAGAACATGTCCTCTGCACAGCAAGTCAAAATAGAAAAAGTGGCAAAAGTCTCTTACCACGAGTATAACTATTCCTTTAATACAGTTGTAAGCAACTCTATACTTTATTGTCGTATGTATTAATACCACTGTTCCGGCTTTCTTTTCCTTGCTGGCAGGGAGCTATAGGAATGACTCTGTTAGAAAATGTAACAACAATGTAGGATCATGGGAACTGCCATTCTGGATAAGAACATATCCTAGTCCCATATCCTGTCTGTGTTAATAGCCAGTACCACATAACCAAAACAATTACTGGTACTGTAGAATGACCTACCTGTAAGAGACATTTCCTTCCCAATCCCCAGGTAGTCAGGCCTAGATCCTCCCACTGCAAGTTAGACACCTCAATACCTTAGAGGAGCCTGGCCTTAGTGGCTGGCTTATGCTCTCCATCTGAGGCTTTATGAAATGTTCATGCATGTATCATAGTTTGCTTTCTCCTGTGTGCTGACATGGTGATAAAAATCTCTGCTCACTGAAGGGGGTAATAAAGGTCTCTGTAGGACAGTATACTCAACTGCTTTGGGTCAGTTTCTCTGCTGGAATATGTTGTGGAAACTCCATTGAAGTCAATGGAGCTGTGCCCACTTATTCCAGCAGAGAATTGGCGCCTTGTGTTTAGTGCAGGATTCTCAGAGGTTTATGCATGACAGGAATTCCATGGCAATGTTGCTGGATTCCTTGTCAGTCATAAATAATTGAGTAAGATTAAGGACTCACTTTTACATCCTGGATTTTATATTAGTTCTAATACAGAACATAAAACACTGGTTTTACAAAGCATCTTCCACCGGAAGGAAAAAATATAGCTTTATACAGTAACACCAATTTTATGAAAGGATGACTTTCAATCAAAAGAAATTTACATGAAAACAGTTTCATTGTTTGAGAACTTATACGAATGCAGGACAACAGGACTCAACCTGATTCTCAGAAAATCAAACCATATGACCATCTGACAAATTGTGTTACTCAAAATTTCTCATCGCTCACATGTAGAAATGTCTCAGCTTTTAAATACTGTGTAGATGATATAGCAACTTTCACTTTTCTTTCTACATTTCAAACCTTGAAAAACTTTCATAACAGTTAATATGAATCATCTAGCATTTCCTATTCCAACATGTTACACTGATCATTCATTAACTATTAAAAATGAAGATAACTATCATGAATTTTGATATAACTCAAAGTGTTAGAAAGGATATACAAACAACTCACTCACTCGAGTAACTTTTAGATTACATATGAGGACACATCCACACTGTTCTTTATTGTCAAATGCAATGCATCACTCAATTATCCGTCCATTATTAGAATATTTTCTTTCACTCCTTAGCACAAGTAGTTTGGGTTTTCTCTGATACCCAGCACAAAAGCGTTCCAACCACTTTATAGTATATAGGCCTGATTTGGTCCCAGGGTAATTCCATTGATTTTGGAGATCAAAATCTTACCTAAGACACTACAAAGTTTTATCTCTAAGAGCTTTTGCCTGAATAGTTCTGCTTACATGTATATGTCCTTATCTTGGTGTGAATACATATGTGAAGGGAATGATAAATGCGTAGGCCTTAATTGACGTGGGAGTGGTGGTTTTGGGTTCATCACAAAAATTGGCATTCTTTATTATTTATACAGTAATGTAGGTAGTTTAGGTGTACACAGCTCTTAAAAATATAAGAAGACAGCTACTCTCCCCAAAAAGCTCAACATCTAATCAGACATTACACTGAGAGTAACAACACTAGATAATAGTGCAGCAGTTAGGAAGGGAAGGAGCAAGATGGTTACAACAGATAAAGATTATGGATGAATTTTACTCCCCGTCACACTGCTGTGCATGGAGAATAATGCCATGGAAGTCAATGGAGCTACTTTAGGTTTATATCAGTCTAATAGAGATCAGAATTTGACTCAGTTTGATTTGCTTTTTACATTTGCTTCTATATATCTTGTCAAGTCCATACTTCTAAATTTGCTTTAAACATTTTTAAATTTCACAGGCTGGGCATGGATTTAATGAAGGCTTGATTCTGCACCACTGGGAGTTTGGCTAGGGACTGCAATGGGAGTGGATCAGCCTCTTAATGCCAGCTGTTCTGCTTCGGTAGGGACAATCCCTTTTTAAGAAAAAAAATGAACCTTTTCTCAGTCCATTGATCCAAAAAGATCTTCCATTACAAAGAGCTCAGCAGAGTTAACAGTTGCTTCTCTATTTGTCCTCCCAAGTATTCCTATTTATAACATATAACTGTGGATGAGGTACATATTGCAAATCTGAACACAGGGAAACCCTCTGATCACCATATAACTGACAAGTGTAAGTTCCACAGAGGAGTTTATATGATCACTTATTCTACAATGGGTGAAACCTGTTGGTGGGATAATTGACAGCATTCACTCTTTCAGTTTCTTCTCCAGGGAGTTGTAGAGAGTGGGATTTAAATGTTTCAATAGCTGTAGCAGAGGGTGAGATCCTGTAGGAAGAATAAAAGAGGAAGCCCTAGAAACAGATAGGAAGATGGTGGAAACAAAGAAAACTGGTAACAAGTGGGGAGTCATGAGGAACAGAGACTCTGAACATTATCAGAGAAACAGAGTTAAGAGAGTGCAACAGCAAGATTAATACTGCGTATATCTACAGATCCACCCAAGGATCTCCAAGTACTTTAAGTACGGAATTAAGCCCATTTTACAGTGAGATAAAGAGTCAGCAGCAGACCAGGGAAGAGAACCAAGCACTTTTGATGTATAGTCCTGTATTTTAACCAGTGGATGCACTAATTCAGAGCTGGTGTGGGAGTTGTATGTAGCCCATTTCCTCCAGCCCTTTTGGCTGAGGTTCATTTGGCCAAAGGACTTGAAACATAGATTACATGAAGTTTTGTAAAGCAATTACTGAATTTTTAAAATCCCCTTAATTGCATTCTAAATACATTTCCATAAAAATCAAAGTACTTTTCCTTTTTGTGAGAACTTTGTTTATTCCATAAAACATTAAAACATTTTGAAAAGCTCCAGAAAATTTTAAGAGAGAAAACCTTTTGATCTAAAAATCCAGGACTGAAGAATCAGCGGGGAATTCAAGAAGAATTATGTCCTCCCAAAGTAGTAAACATATGGAATAATTTGAGTTTAAGAGAGTTAGACATTTTTATAGAATGAAAGGAGGAACTGAAAGATACAATGACTAAGCAGGGCACTGGGTCTGACTTTCTGTTCCAAGTAGCTCATTCCTTATAGATTTTTATGGCTCTCCTAGCCCCAATATTAAACACTTGACCTTTTTGTCAAATACTATTTTAGATTATTAGACTGGATGATTAGTTACTAAATATATGGTCTACAATAAATAGGAAATTGTTCAGTACAGTGCTTCAACCTCAGTTCTTTCAGGTATTGCTCCCTTGATATTTAAAGTTAGAACATCAAATCCCCTTATATTAGCGTTACTTAACCAGTTTGATGCCCAGAAGCCGCACAAGGTTTTCATATGGGGCATACAGATTTCTCATGGGGCACTATCCTGAATGCCCCAAGTCAATGGTTTTAAGCATACATCACCCTGAGAAGACAGGCTGCATAAGGAAGAAAAAGCAGCCCAATTAGCAATCACTATGGTGCATGTTTAGGAGAGGACCCCATGGAGTCCACAGACTTATTTATAATGCACAAATCTAGCACTAATGTAGCAAGACATTTTCAGATTTTGGGAACTAGTTCCTAACTACTAACAAATGTCATAATTAGGTTTTTTTAAACAGATACTGGACCTGATTTACACTGGTGTGATAGTTGAATCAGGCCCATTAGCTTTAATATAGTATGTAAGATCGGTTGCTCTAAGTCTTAACACAGATTATCCCTTATTTATTACAGGATAGTTTTTGTCAGTCTAAATACCACTTTGAGGCTTTCTGCTGGTGCCATTACTCATGTGAGTAGCTCCACTGGAGTGAATGAGCTGCAGGATTGGTCCCAAAATTTGCAGTGCTAGAATTTATATCTTCCTTGTTAATTATCCACTAGGGTGATGGATGCAGCCTATGTGCAAACCAAATAACATTACTCTTCCTCCTGCAGGAAGTTTAATTTATTAGCAATTAAAACTGATGTAGAAGAAATAGGAGAAACCACTTAAAAGTCCAGCCCTCAAAAATCGTGCAGTGACTGAATGGTTTGTGAACAGTCAATCTCAGCTAAAAGCACTACAGTGTTTAC